TGGTCATGATTTCAACCAGTTAATGTGATATCCTCCGCTCACTGTGTTTTCACTCGGTTTTGTTTCTCTATGTCTCTCTTCTGTTTGCATTTTATTCTAAGTAAATACAGAGCCCCCTCAGCGGCCCCTGTAGGTACTGATTCAGGTTTCTCATCTCTGGATGTGTAATGAGTTCTGCCTTGTTTTTGTCTAACAACAACACACAATAATAAGCAAAGTAATTAAAAGCAGTATGAGAGAGATGGGGGCTGGGCAGACCCCACTTACCAACAAGCATTAAAAATGAATTTAAGTCAAGAAGCAACAGTGGTATTACTGATTTGATGAAATGAGTTCTGTTTTTTAGTATTTTTGTCTTGATGTATTTATGGCTGTTTCTGCTCCGATCAAGCTGATTTTTATTTGAAGACACACAGTGTAGAAAAAGTCTGATTATTCCTGGGTTTGTTGTCTTCATCCTAAATGGAGATCAGGGAATAGTGGCAGGGAATGGGTGGGAGAGTAAAATTTAATTTAATACATTTTTTGACTGAAAACATAGTCTTCATGTTTTGTTACAGAGGACGGAGCTGCTCTGGTGGTGTTGCAGACCACCTGTCACCTGCCCGGGCTCTCTTTGACCTCGTCTCCTGTGGCAACATGTCACACCCCCTTTACAGACAGCCATGTGGGACGAAATGACATTCTTGACCTTTAGGCATGTTGGCAAGCAAAGTGACAACAAGCATAGCTGACTGTATGTCAGTTATGTGCACTGCATGTGGACAACCAGACACACGCAAACACACAGTGCCAGCGCACACTGCGCACGTAGTCTCGGAAGATCATCTAATATCAGAGAGCGTCAGGGACAGAAATCCGATCGTCTGACAACCAGGATACAGATAGCGATTCTCCTCCGCTGATCCATGCAACAGATAGTTTCCACAAACAGCTGCCTGACTAAGGTTACAACCAACCCAGGCCCGCACCACAGTGCACTGCTCTACCTCACATCGAGATAAAACAAAAGCTTAGGTTACCGTCAATAGGAAATTGATAAGATAATACACTGTTTGTGGGGGGTTTTTTTGTTTTTTTTGATGAAAACGTTGACAAGAGGAAATGAGAAAATGTTTGCTTCAGCGTGAAATAATATCATGTATATTAGTCTTGTTAGGTTTTCTGTTTTTTAAAAATATTTTCTTCCGTGATTATATCGTTGTTCATCTCCTTTTTTTAATTGAAGCTCATTAAATGTTTAACCCAAATGTCAGCATATTTGATTAAGCAGTCATAATTGTTTAAAGAAATTCAATTCTCACAAAGAAAAGTATCATCACTTTACATTCCCCCTGCCTCAAAGTACTCTTAATAATTTGAATATGGATTTATATTATAAGTGAGGCAAAGAGATATGCCCCCTTCACATCAGTGTAATTACGAATCACAAAAAAAAAGAGTTTGATTCAAATAAAATAGGCCATTTGTACACAAGCAATTAACTGCTGCGGCTTTAAATAATGTAGCCCAGATGGAACCTAATTATAGTCGGCATGCTTTGATTTGCACTTCCTGTTGGAGTATCACTCGGGGCGTCACTTTGGCTTTTCAGTCACCTAGCGTTTGTTTTGAAATTTGTGACAATCAGAGCCGATTACCATTTGTAACAGCATGCAGCGTTTGGTACGCAGGGAAGAAAGCATGGCCCATAGCTATGGAGGAATTTCCTTGTTTTCAGCTCAAAAATCTCCTCCTCTGTTCCCTTACCTCACTGCACACAAATGATAACAACTGTGTGCGTGAGTATACGTGTGTGTTTGTGCCCGCATGTGTGTATGTGTGTGTTCCATCCATGAGTAGACACTTACAATTGATGAATGTGTTTATGTGTGTGTGGCAGCATCTTGTAGCAGCGCAGAGTCAGAGGGAGATCAAACAGTCAGTCAATTACCTTGAGAGGGCTCCAGTGGCTGTGACAGAGAAGAGGAGGCCAAATATCCAGGATCAAATACTCTTCTCTGTCTGTCACATAATGAGGCAGCTTCACCAGGCTCAAACAACACACACAAAATGGTCAAACACAGGGCACTGGTCAGGCGCTACATTGAAACTGCTCCATGACTGGAGCACGGAGCACATAAGGGAGCTCTCAGCACAGGACATGTTTCTGTACCGGCTCTTTGCTGCCTTAGAGTGAAACAGGGAAACAGTGAAACATTGTCGTGTGTATGCGTTGCCTTACCTGTAGGTCATCATTACGTGCAATATTAATCTAAGTTTGTTTGTTTTTTCCTCCAGTGTAATTATAAACACTGTTAAAACTAAAGACAATTTTCTGTATTCCCCGTGACGATACCCAGTGTCGTGGAGCTCGACAGCATCATTATTGAAACGGCAATGAATGAAACTGTTATTGCATTTAAAACAAACTTTATTAGGCTAATGTCATTACTGTAAACTTGTTAAAATCTGTACATGCAACTTAATTGTTTCACAAGTACGAAACAGCTACACAGTGTACTTTAGTTTAAATACAGGATACAAGTTACAGTTAAAAAGGGTGAGCTCTTTGTCCATTGTACGCTGTTTTGCCAATACATAAAATCACTTCTTCATAAAGGAAAAAAAACAGTCTGCTTATCAGCTAATTGGCTGTTTATGGGTTTCCTTTACCCACAAGATACAGCCAGATGACACCATCGATTTCCACAGTTTTTAAAAGATATTACTTTGATTTGTGGTGTAGCTGACATAACTCTCGCTTGTCTTCTTCTTCTCCCTCTGTCTCTGCCTCTCTTCGCCTGGTCACTGGGGTTCCTCCTCTAAATCAGTGGTCACATCTCAGCTATGACAACATCCATTAGGTTCAACACGCTTTGGCTATTAAAGGAGGAATGGATGGAAGTTTTAAAGGCCTGTTTAAGTCTACATGAGAGTGGGTTTATATCTGTGTGTGTGTGCGAAGGTTGTCTGGGGGAGAGGATTTTATTTCAAAGCTTCTACCATATAGAAGGGGTGGAGCTTAACGCCAGAGTCACTGAAGGGCCACGGGCTTATTTGCATATCGGCACAGAGACACCCCCCTGGTGACCCTGAACTGCGATGGGATAGGGTGGAGACGCTGGCGGAATTCTGGAGTTCACCGCTAGTTCAAGATGAACTGGAAAGTGCTGCGGCATTGATCGCTTCTGCAGAAAAAAGAAAAGAGACAAAACAGAAGTAAAAATACAAGTGAGAGAGAGAACAATGAGACAGGGAGAATAGAAGAGGTGGAATAAAAAGATCACAGTGCCTCAAATTGGATATAAATGATAGATTAGAGGTGTGAGAGGGCTGTGTCTTTGTTTCCAGGGATAGGTGTTATGATGAGCCCTACACAGGTAGTGGAGTCACCGGGAGTGCTGGGTTATTGACTACCATGATTGCCAGGCCAGTAAATTTGACCCAAGGCACTGACTGCCATCTGCTTGCTATATAGCGTGCAGTGCAAACCCCTGTCTCAGAATGATCAAGAACCCCCTTATATACTCGTACGCGCAAATTACACACACACAAACATACCACTGGTACCTGGAACCCAAATTCCCTCTCAGCCCAAAACCCTATACCTGCTTACAATCATACACATAAACACACACACATGCACACACACCATCTCCATTAATGCTTCCAGGCAAGGGTCAATCTAATAAACATGGGGTCAGTGCAGTGGTCATCAGAGGGCTGTCTATGGTGTGAGAGCCTTTAAGTTGCTTCCTAATTGTATCCCGGCGGCCTTCTAGTCTAGCTTTTTATAGCTGATACGATGTGCACTGTGGGGAGAGGAGGAAGCCAGGATGGAAAGTGAAAGGCACTGAGAAAAGGAACCGAGGTAAAAAGGTATGTCTGTATATTGTAGAGATTCGATTCATTGAGAAGGGCTGTGGTTATCGACTTTTCTCTCCTGGGACCGTCTTTTTTTTTTTCAAGCAGCTCTAAATCATTAACTGCTTTTTGTTTTTTAAATGCTCCCAGGAAAATTACAGGAAGTCATTGTAATATTGTTTCGAACAAATGTAAGTCCCTAAGAAGAAAAGGCTGCAGATGCAGAGGTGAAAATAAAGATTCACAAAAGAAAGCTCATTACAGCCACTCTTGATTTCCTCCATTCCTCTGTGTGCAAACATGTCTGAGATCCATCTATCAAAGTATGAAACCCTTAGTTTTATCTAATAACAGGCATCGGGTGAACTGCAGGACACCATTTTTCAGGTTCAGTTGCAGTCAGACGCTAACGAGAGGTGGCACAAACAAACCATTCCGTGTTACAACTAACTTGTTAGTTCTAGCTCAACTGGATGGCACAGCCAAGGTGTTCTGCCATCCAGTTGAGCTATCAAACTAAAAGGCTGGGCTGTGACACCCAAACCCTAAGGAACCTGACGCGCATGTACCAGATTTCAAGCTCCAGCGTGACCCCAACTTGGGAACTTGCTAACCTGGAGAAGGTCAGAGGGAAACCCTGCACTTCTGCCTCCCCCCGTCACTGCCAGACCACCTGATATGTTCACTAGTTATCGCTCTCCAACTTCTGTCTGGCCTTTTCTCAATTAGTCCTTTGGAACGAATGACTACCGCTCCACTGGTTTCACTTAGTGCACCCATTGTGTATATATCTAGTTTTGTTGGAAGGACCTCTTTCCATCTCCTTGGTTGTGCAGCGCTGTTGATTATCAGGTATCCGCTTGAATAACATATTAAGGCTATCCCATTGGGCTAACAGGTCATAGGCTGCCATCGTTCTCACACATAAGGGTTTAGGTCTTCACGGAGCATTGTGGGAGTTTGCGAATCTTACGAGACTAAAAATCTTATGTAATAGTGTCCGTTTCTTTTCACTTATTACGTTGCCATGGTGAGTATATAGAATGCAGAGCTTTAATTTAAATTATATTAGCACTGATCATGTGTTTCCTTTCATATAACATTACAGTCAGTAAATATCTTGGTATGCACTTGTGCTTATCTTTTCCACGCAGGCACAGAGAGGCATGAGCTGACTTCCTGGATGAGCTTCGACTCTATCTTCAGGTTCTTCAGTGAGTTCCATGCAAAAGAAGGCGAGGAGGCAGAGGAGACCTCCAACTCTGTTACCACACGCAGTGGCTCCCACAAAAACAAGCACCAAGATTTGTAGAGAACCATCAACAGTGACTCGAAACAAGAGGAGATTTGGGGAGGGCGCAGAGGTTAAAGTGCAGAAAAGGTCCTCTGATATTTTTTTTTATTTTCTCTCTCTTCCTCTGTAACCTCCTACCAGATTTCCTTCCCCACTGTTTTCCCCGAGTGTCATTTCTTCCTCCCAGCCCTTCCTGACTCTGCACACGCATAGCCTTCTTGTTGTAAGAGACAAGAGTACAGGGTCACTGTGTATACATCACAATAACGTTTTGCATTACTTCTGGTTGAGTGCAACTGTCAAAGCAATATGGGCCTGAGTGTTAGCGCTTCCCGTGGGCTGTGGCCTGGCTGCGGGTACGGGCCACAGCAGCAGAGATTAAGGTTGACAGGCGCTGTGCACAATGCGCTGTGGTGCACCTCTAATTGTCCTGACATCAGCCTGAACTGAGCTAATGCCCCGCCTGCCCTCCAGTCTGCACCGCTCAGTCTCCTCTCCATCATCCCCCCCGGTCCTAAAGCCTGGACCACTCACCCTGAAATTAGCTCATGCCGTGTGGTACATTGTGGTAAGTTTGGTATCATTTCCTGTACCGACCGCAAGTATTTTTTTTAATAAGAGTGAATACTCTTAACTCTTTTGTTTAACAGCAGTTGTTTTGATTGCTTCATGATTATTGTTTGACTCATTCACACACACATAATCAAAAAAAACTTTTAAACCTCATTTTTCTCATTCAGATTTGTGAGTGTGATTCTAAGCTGTTTGTTTTTTCTTTTCTTTTTTTTTTTTGGAATTGCAGTTATTATAATAAGAAAGACTTTTCGTAATTTCTGAAATTTGAAGGCAGTGTCTCATACAGACACTATGACTATGATTTTATTTTTTAATATTAAGCCAATATTTTCTCAGCGCATGTAAGTGAGTAAGTGTTTACTTTAGTGTATCTATGAGTTTGATTTGCAAAAGTGTGGAGAGCTTATTTCTCTGGTTATTATAAATATATATACTTTTTCCTTTTTCTCCAGTTTGATATCCTTGAAATTGATGTCTGTGGCTGATTGGATGTGATGAAACAAATAAAACAAACACAACCTGTTCTGAATATGGAAAATTCAGGACACTGAGCATATTTAAAATCATTTAAAGTCAGGCATCAAAATGGGTTCGTGAGATATCTCATTTTAACGGGAGCCAGAAGTCAGCTCACAACACTCATAAAGCCTCAATATATTGCCTTACACATGTCATGAAATCCAAGATTTCAATATTATTCTAAGCCGGAATGATATTTCCTTAGATGTTGGAGAAATGTAACATATCAGTTTTTTTCCTCGCACCAAAGTACTCTTCTTGTGTACTTAGAAGTGACAAAGTCAGCTCCCTGCTCAGCTGCACATAATCTGACTGCGTGTCTTAAACATGATCTTTTTTTCCATAAAGCTGGTATGTTTTATAAAGCACTCAAGGCTTAATGGAGTGCATTTCTAATGTGTCATGGCATTAGTAAACCCCCAAATTGCATACTAAATCATATGATACCTTAGACACACATTCTCAAACATTCCTACCCTTTTCTATCCTTTTTTAAAACAGTTTCCATTGTTAAACTTCCGCACTGAACACTGAAATCCTGCCTTTTCTGCCCACTGTGTGTATGGTTGAAGGCTTTTGTGGATTATCTTTCTGCTGTAATGAGACAAGTGCGGCTGATGGTTGCAGGCCTAATTTCCTTTTAATTTGATTTAGATCTCTCCAGGTTTCAGCAAAAGAAGTTGGCTTATTATTTGATTTGATGAGTTTCATTTCAAGATATCTTTGCTCATCTTTCTCCTTTTCAACTATGATCAGTTCATTTTTCACTCTACAATTTGTATATTGTTGCCTTAGGAATAAACAAGATTCTGCTCACTGTTTTTTTTTTTTTAATAATATCCAGCAAGCCATATGTGAAGGGAACTAAAGATGTAAGAGCAGCCTAAATCCAAAGCACAGTTTGGAAATAAAAGGGGAATATTTTCGCCAATTGTTCTTGAAGTCATTATTTTTTGCAGATGGTTTATTATTTGTTGCATTGGATTGAGAAACACGCCTATTTTGTTTAATCACAGCACAAGCTTTTTGGTTTTATGAAACTGAAAGTTTCCTGCCAGGTTTCTTTTTTTTTTTTCTTGTATTCTGAAATAGTTTCATTCGCTTTTGATCCATTTCAGTTTTGAAGGTCTTAATTATTTTCGACGCTTCTGCAGCACAGCAATTACTGTACTTTTACATGATTTCATTGTTGTAATAACCAATTAAAACAAAGCAAATAAACTTTAAATCTTGCTTTTTAAACCGTGTGCTTCTCCTTTTTTCCTTTTCTCATTTTTCTTCTTCTTTGTTTTCTTGGAATGGACGCGCTAATCGTCCTGACTTTTTCACGGCTGGTATTGCGCACGTTACTTATTTAGAAAACCATAAGGAAAACTCCACAACGCAGACAGGCCACGACAGCTGTGAACGCGTCAAGTGATCGAGGAAAAAGTCAAGTGAAGTCACATCCGTTGTATCTACAACTTTCCAAACGTGAAATCAATACTAACCACCAAACATGCCTCTGCTACCAAACAGTCGACCACGTGTTTTGTCAGTTTTCTAAACTTTCAAAAATGTATATTTTACGATAGCTGTGCTGCTTTGTTTCTGTAGTGAAACGGGTCATAACTTTAATTGTGCATATATTTTTTTAAAAATCCTTAAAGGTAATGATATTGGAGACAGAGCGTTAAACTGAGCGATACGTGTGTCAGAGAGAAAACAAACTACAAACTGTAATGCCTTTTTTTTTTTTTGGTCGTTAATTTAGGCAAACTGAGCCCCCTCTAACTCAGCGAGGTTTTACGGCATCATTTGTTTTCACACGGTGAAACCGATCAGGTCATTAAACGCCCCCTCAATAAATCTTTAGAAATCTTTTCCATTAACCCCCGAAACAACAAGTGGAACCAGGCGAGTCCCCCTCACACAGTGTCAGAGCGCAGATTAAAGAGAGGCATTCAATCACACACACACTCGCTCTCTCTCACTCGCGCTCTCTCACACACACACAAATGAATTAGGCTCGACTTTCCGTCTTAAATGTGTTTAGAACTTCCTCGGGATATGTATGTAACTTCACAGCTCTGCGATATTGAAAAGGCAAAACCCCACTCTCGTGTTAGCGAGAATTTTCTGAGTTTAATTAAATAACCCGCCTTCTGTCCACAGCAGTGATGTAGTGGTATCATAAATTAGGACCTCCAGTCAGTTGTCATCAAAGGCACCCGATTAATACACGTTTGGAGGAGGGGGGTTGTATTATATTTTCGACCAAGAATCAGTGCGCCTTAAGACTTAATTGTTCATAGACTGTTAAGTGTTTGGCTATTTTATAGATAATGCTGAAATATCGAAAGTTGCGAGAAAGCAGACAAACTTTCTCTCATTGGTCATTCACTTCCATGGGCGCCCCCATGACAACGACGATTTCTGTCAGTCAGTCAGTCAGTCTGGCGCTAGTTTACGCTTTTTCGGTGTTTCCTAAAAAAAAAAAAGGAGAATAAGTTGGACCTTGACGTTTGAAGGATTTCCAAACCAAAACCAGAAAGCCTGATTTCCTCTATCTCTTCCCTCGATAAAAGCAGGCCCAGCGTGTGAATGTATTGGTATGTCTGATTTGATTAAGCTATAAGGATTCACTTTCTCCCAGCTGGTGTCGTCAACTCGTGTAACAGACAGCTCCACACTGAATCATATCTGCAACAGGGGGAAAAAAGAAATAAAAAAAATAACATCAGCTGCGGAGCTTTAGGGTGAAATCTTGCCAAACGGGGGGTCTGTGCTGTAATGTCAGCTTTTTGGAGAGAAGGGGTGGGGACCATGACATTAAAAAAAAAGAAAAGAAAAGAAAGAAAAGTTGGGGAACCAGTGTGCTGCCACCGCCTGATATTTCAATTTTCACTTTAAGAGAGTTGTTGTCACGCTTGCTTGCTCCCGTTCCCTCTGATATGCACGCCATCCCTGCAGAAGATGAACTCTTTCCAAAGGAACCAGGCATTAGGCAAAGTTGGAATGTCACCCCTCTGACAACCCCCTTCACACACACACACACACACACACACACACACACACACACACACACACACACACACACACACACACTCCTCCAACACTCTCCAGCGGATCACTGTCAGATCACTATTTGCATAATTATATGCTCAGCTCAGAGGAGAAAACTAACCCCCAAATTTTACGGGTCAACTAACTGCAACAATCAATGTTTTATCGGGTATACTAAGGAAAAAAAATATCTTTCACAATCATGGTAGAGGGACTCTCTTTCGCTCCATCTCGCCTCTCCTTTTATTAATTCAATTCAATTACATTATTGGCATGACTGCTTATCAGGAACAATATTTCCAATTCAGTTTCATAAATGTAAATCCACCCCTTCCCTCTCGCCGCAAATAAGAACCTCTCTCTGCCCTCTCTCTTTCCGTCTCAGGACTTGAGCAAATATATATATATTTAATCTAAACACTGGGGAAATTGGCTTAGACTTGAAGATGCATTCAAAGTTGTATTCCTTCACTTCCTTTCCCCTTATATTCTTTCTCAACTTTATATCACGTTTTTCCTCAGCTGATGGGGTTATTAATATAAGCCCAGTATACAAGAGCACAGAGTTCTTTGGCCGGTTTCGTTAGACGTCATTACATATTCATTGACTTGCAGAGAAACCATTTAATCCACTGGAAAACAACTCCTCTCCAATCGCCTCTCTGCTTAGAATCCTCATAAGGAGTCGCAGTCTGAAACAACACTTGGGGACAAAGACATCAAATTTCGGAAAGACTATAACCAAGATAAGGAAGGTGCATCACAGCTGTAAGGTGCAAAGTTTGGTCAGAAGTGTTGCATCAAGAGAGCTCCTAAAGTGAGCTGTTCTTAAAGGTTGAAGTCTCTCCCACCCACCATCCCCAAATAAACTGCAAATATTTATTTTTTAAAAATCCCCTTATAAATTGAGGATCATTTGATATGTGAGATATTAGCTATATATATTTTTTATTATTATTATTCAGCAGTGCATATTTTAAGCAAAACGTTCCCAGAAAAAAATTATTAACATATAACAATTTTGAGCTTAATCGACGGACGCACATATAATATTATCCAGACTGTGCTTCTACCTGTTTTGGAGTTTCTTATGAAAAAACCCCACTAATATAACCATAATGGGTGAAAATATGCAAAGCAATTCGGCTATCCCAGCAAAATTGCAATTCCCCAGGTCATTATAAGAAAATCGGGGCTTATACAGAAGTGAAAAATGCCTTTGGAGACCAAAATCACCAAGAAGCGCAGCTACCCCTAAGTACCCACAGGAATATAACACGAATATTATCGGGACATTCTCGTGGTTATTCGTTGGTATTTTATTTTCTTGGCTTTGCTGTCTGATACTTACAAGTAGCCACTACATCAGCAGCATGGCCTAATGTGTGTGTGGTGCGTTCTCGAGGATCCTGGCATATAATACTCCGATTGTGGGACAGCT